CCCCCAAACGTCGATGAGGTCCATGATCTTCACACTAGACCGGGGGGGCGCCCGCCTCTTGCGGCCCTGGGCAGGCTCCTGGGAGCTGCCAGCCTTGTCCCGGAAAGAGGCAGAGAACTGGGTGGCATCGGGTGGGTGGCTCTGTGCTGTGCCAGGTGCAGGGTCTGCTGAGCCATACTGTGCCCCTTTAAGGGCTCCGGGGCCAGGTGGGGACAGAAGAGTTTCCCTGGTGGTGCCCAGAGTGGCCACCAGGGAAAGCTGGGGAGGGCTAGCCTCCCATTAGTTTGAATTAAGTGGCTACACAGCAATTAATTCGAACTACTTAATTCGAACTAGGCGTTAGTACTCGTAGAATGAGGTTTACCTAGTTCGAATTAAGCACTCCGCTAATTTGAATTAAGTTCAAACTAGCGGTTTGCCTGTGTAGGGCCTATGAAAGTTAATTCGAACTAACGGCTGTTAGTTAAAATTAACTTTGTAGTGTAGACATACCCTGACAGTGCCCACAGGTATTTGGGGTTAGTGTCTGATTTCCCTACTCAGAGTATTAGTGTTTCTTTCAACAGTGTTGTGTTTGTATAAATTACTCTGGATTTTTTAATCACTTTAGTCTCATTGGTTTCTGTATAAACAATTATCCAGTCGTATGCCAGCAATGAAGTTACTCTGCTCTAATCCGCTTCCAAAATTCACATGCAAGAAGAGAGGTGAGGGAGGAAATTGTTCAGTGCAACAAAACTGAAGAAAAACCCACCCCATAGCTGTGAAATTCCCTTGGTTTCGATCTACTGTAGGATCAAACGTAAACAACAAATGACTGGGGCAGGCAGGCAAAGCTCCTAATTTGACTGGATTAGATTGAGAACTTGCTTTCCTTTAGGACCATGCAAAGGGACAAACATGAATGGAAACTTAATTCCTCCTGCACGCTTCTTAGATCTCCTCGGTGACTGTATGTAGCCCACTGGGGGGATGAGGGGTATCCCCCTTAGGGTCAGTGGGTGGCCACTCCAACCCACTACGCGTAGTCCAAGTCTTAGCCCCGGGTTAGAGTGGGGTTGCCGCACTAGAAGTCCACAGCCCAGCCCTAGCATATGGGAGGGCTGCTGTAATCAAGTAGTTATCAGTTTGTAGCCCAGGCCTTATGCAGGGGAAGGCCACAGGAATTAAGCAGCTTATAGCCCAGTCCTAGCACAGGGCAGCAGTTTATAAGTCCAGCCCTGGTGCAGGGGCAGGGCTGCAGCAAATAAACTAATTCACAGCATGTATGCATGGGTATAGTCTAGGTCCTTGTTTAGGAGGGGTTCAGGCAGCTTGCCTGCGGTAGCAGAGAGAGCGGGGCAGATTGTCACCTGCTTAGTCCATGGCAGAGGGGAATACAGGCCCTCTCTACACCACCGCGTCCCAGCCCAGGGCCCTAACAGCAGCCAAGCAGTGGGCTGCTGGGTCAGCGGTGGTCCCGGTCCAAAACACACTGACCTCTTGTTGCTGGGCCAGCAGGGGTCCATACTGCAGCCCACTGACCAAGGTCCATTTCTTCTCCCGCTGCCCCCCAAGATATACCTGGCTCCTGGGCAGGTCCTCAGTGTAGCGAGGGTTGAAGTCCTCCGGCCAGATACGCAAACCTTCTAGATAGTCCTCCAGCAGTGGGCCCCACGGCCCAGGCCAATCAGCTTCCACCGGGTCTGGTTCCTCATGGGGTTCAGCTGAGCAGGCTTCTGACTAGCTGGGAGCTCACTGGTCTTTCAGGCAGACCTTTTATATCCCTGGCCCTGCCCCCTGGCTTCCTTCCAGGTGAATCATTAGCATCTGGTATCCACATTCATATCTGCAAAAATGAGCTGCAGCTGTGGATACCTGCAAATATCTGCAGATTTGAAGTGGTCTACTTAGCTCCCAGAATTCCTCTTTCAGTCTTTACAGTGGTATGAAACAATTACAACGCACAAATCTATGCATGGAATGGCTTTTCACTGAATCATACATCTTTTTTGCTTTATCCAAAACTTCTTATGTTGTTTCTTCCCCTGTTAAATGTCCTTTTTTGTTCTAATAGGTCAAACTTCCTGAAGCTGGAAAAAATGAAGACAGCTATTAAACGTGTGATGACCTATCTCTACTGGTTATACTATCAGTATAAACTGATCACCTGTAGCGACCTCATGGTACCCTGTGAAAAATTTGTCTTCTACGCAGTTATGGTTCCTACGATGGCTGCAGTTATGTACATTATTTACATCTTTATCACTATGCAGATCAATCTGGCTTTTCAGGTTTTCTTATTTTTATTTGGAAGTCTGCTTGAAAGTGTTGTTTCTATTATGAAATAATCTAGCCACCAAAATAATAGCTTTTTGATCTTGCATGCTCTTCTCCTAAACCTATGTATTTGTTTGGAAACAATTTGAGTTTTATGAAACACTGTTTTTTTTAAGTCTGCTTAAACAGTAATTGTACAAAAATATAAAATCAGCCATTACTCTGTAATGGACTTCATCTAAGCTGTATTACTTGTCTACCTTAAGTATATTCAACTTGTCTACTTTAAGACTAGTGTTCATAATTTAGATATTTAATTTCCCCTATTTCAGTACCTCTAATCCTTATACATCAGAGCTGGTAAAAACATTCAAAATTTAGTGGAAAAATTGTGGGAAAAAGCCTTATATTTTCATGAATCCTTTTTGACCAGTTTTATTAAACATTCAGGCTACATCTACACTTCAGGCTTCTTGTGCAAGAAGCTTTTTGCAGAAGAGATCTTCCGTAAAAACTTCTTGCACAATAGCGCGTCCATACTGCAAAAGCGCATTGGAAAAGCGATGCACTTTTGTGCAAGAAAGCATCCAGACTGCATGGCTACGTCTAGACTACATCCCTTTTCGTAAAAGGGATGTAAATTAGACATATCGCAATTGCTAATGAAGCGGGGATTTAAATCTCCCCCGCTTCATTAGTATAAAAATGGCTGCCGCTTTTTTTCGGCACGGAGCTTTGCTGGAAAAAAGCGCCAGTCTAGACGCTGATCTTGCGGAAAATAAAGCCTTTTCCAGAAGATCCCTTATCCCTCTATGAAATAAGAAAGCGCTGATTGCCATTAACAGAATGGCCACCAGGGCACCTGTACTTCTTTCGATAAGGGTTTTTTGCACAAAAAATGCCTGTTTCCCATCCACACACAGCTCTTGCACAAAAAGAAGTTATTCCTCGTAGAAAGAGGAATACCTATGCCACAAAAACCCTTCTGTTCTGTCGATTCACTGTAAATTTTCTTGTGCAAAAATGCGCTTGAGGTGTGGATGCTATGCAAGTTTTTGAACAAAAACAGTTGTTTTTGTGAAAAAACTCTGTAGTGTAGATATAGCCACAGACAGCTTGTTCTTTATCATTGTGGATAATACCAAATGACTTATTCTTCCCTAGTTAAAACTTACTACTTTATACTTTTGTTATAAAAATGTTTGGAAAAAACGGCATAAAGATATTTATCAACAGTGTAAGATAAGAAGAAAATTGTAAGGTAATATTTCAAGGCAGGACATTAACTTGCTATATATTACTTCTGCTTCTGTAGAGAATATAACAGTTACTACCTGTTACTACTTCACAAGCCTTTCACAATACTTGTATGATTTATAATGTTTCTTCCGTAGTCCTGGCTAATAGTATATCAGAAGTGTGACTCCAATGAAACCTGACCTGAACACTGCCAGTAAAATCCTGACCTCACTGAGGCTGGGCAGCAGAGACCCAGCACCCTCAACAACTAGCTAAGGTGAAAGGGGGGAGGGGGGGAGGAAGCCACCTACAAAAGGCAGGTGGAAAAAGGGGGCTTGGCCCAGAATGTAGGGATAGCCAGGGTCAACCAATCACAAAAGCAGCAGCCTCCTCCACAGGAACCTCCTCCCAAAAAGGAAGAAGAAAGGGGTGCAGGAGAAAGTGCAGCATCCTGAGGACAGGGGGCTGCCAAAGCCCCATAGATGACAGAGCTATAGGGCACTGGATTTCTCTTTCCAGAGAAAACTACTAAAGCTTGCTGCAATAAAAAAAATGAAGGCAGGAAAACACCTGGGCCTAATTAACTAGCTTGCTCCCTCAGGCAAGTCACTCAAAATCTGCAGCCAATTACAGCCAGTGGAGGTACTTTAAAAGGCCTCCCTTAGGTAAGGATATGGGGGAAAGATAGAATGATAGAGTAGCAGTTGTGGGAGACATTTTGGAGGGAGTGGTCCAGGGAAAAAGCTGCCAAGTTGGAAGGAAAAGCAATCTTGATTCTGCTGCTGTGAGGGGTCCTGGGCTGGAGCCTGGAGTAGAGGGTGGGTCCAGGTTCCCCCCAACCTTCCTCCACACTGTCCTGAGAATCACAGGTCCAATGATGCATACCCAAGAGGGGAAGGACAGAACCAGGTGGACAGTTTTAGCAAATAAAGGATATTTATTTATGACAGTGATGAATTTATAGTATTTATTCTAAGATTTTTAATAGACTGTGTTAATGAATTTACAGTTTATTATATTTATTCTATGATTTCTAGTTAAATGTGTCAGATATAACGATGGGTATGGCAAGGGGAATAGTCTCTAGTCTAAAAATATTCAGCTACACTAATTAAATAAGTGATAACTACAAACTCTATGTATTACTCAAAACAACTACAACACTAAGCTTATACAACAAAGAAAATCAAATCATACATACTAACTTACACAGCACACGGAACATTTCAAAGATATCGGTTCAGTTGCGAAGGCCTTGGTTAAGCCCGAGAGTCGGGGGAGGTGGAAGGTTGGTTGATCAGGCCGGCAGCGCTTTGAAGTATATGAGAAGGCACACGCATGATGGTACGTGTGTTGCGAAGACCTCCTAGAGTGAACTGTGCAATGGGTATTTATCCCCAAATCTGCACATCACTTTCCCGCGCTTACATATTACCATATATGGCCCAATGGTCACCAAGTGGGGGGGTCTGTGTCCCAGGGGTTGGGCCGAAACTGTGCAGGTTTCATGCGACCAGGTAAGCCCCACAGTTCTCACGCCAAGGTGACGGGTGGGAGAGTCTGAGGCTATTTTCCCCTTTTCACACCTTCCCTTTTTCTAAAGGCAATGGTATGCAGGAAGGGTGCGGCCGGTTTCTCCCAAGGAGTACTGCAGCCCACTATAGCAAGAGCAGCCTGGCCAAACTTTTCTACTGGGGGGGCAGTTTCTTTTCTCTAACACACACCAACACAGAGCCTGTTCCAAGAAGGGAGACCAGGACTCCCAGGAGGTTTTTACCCCAAAACCATGGACTAGCCTGTGATGATTATGGCTCACTAAGCTGTGGACCCTGCTTCCCGTAAAGAGAAAGGGGTTGTGTATAGAACCACAATGAGTCTCTGAGGCTAATATTATCTACAGTAGCATGAGACCCATGGGGCATAGCTAGAGCTCTGCCACAAGTGGTACAAATATAAAGAATAGGGCTCTGTCAGGCTCCTCAAATGGGCCTAATCCCTTTGAAGATCTTAAAAAAAAAAAGTATGAGACTTGATTGCAGTGATCCTCGTGCGTGCAGCAATTGAGTAATATTCATTTTAAGTACAATTTCAAGTACCCTGCTTTCTTTGGATGCACAATTTACAAGCTTAGCAACAAAATGTATTAGATTGCCTGTGCTTGCAGTGTGTTGGGTGAAATCCACAAAAGTATCTGGGCATCAAATTGCCTCTCCAGGTTTGGGACCAGTGTATGGTTCGGTTCCAGGGCAGACTAAAGGTTTTGTCCACTTTGTGGCTCTCGGTAAAAGGTTGGATTTAGGGCTGATTGGCAGTCCCAGGCTATGGATGGTGCCAGTTGGTGGCCCCAGCTAGGAGCAGGCTGTTGCTGATTAGGGGCTCCAGTCTAGGGCTAGGGATGGTAATAAGATTAGCTGTTTTAGTCCAAGCCTGTCTGACACACCACTTCCCCCACCCCATGCAGGTTGGGTGGCTAGCTCTAGCTGCCAATGAGCCTTTCCCAGATGGTAGGGAGGGGATGTGTCCCTACGGGCTGCGAGAGACTCGCTGTTCTGTCCTCAGCAGGGAGCTGCTGCTGTAGCTGAGGGAGAAGTGCCCCTCCTCCAGCCAGGCAGCTCAGTGTAGGGCAGCCCTGAGCCGGGCTCATTAAGCAGCTGCCACACAGCTTAGAGGGAACCTTGGTTAAGGTGTATGACTGGTTTTGGCCCTATGCTAAGGAAGGGTTAAGCCTGGGGTTTGTTGATGATCCTCAGGAAGGTTTAGAGTAGGGCTCAGTTGATGGTTCATGGTAAGCATTAGGATAAGGGTGAATTGGTCACTCTGGGTTAAGATTAGGGTTGCAGACAACTGTTAGTCCAGGCCTAGTGTTTGTGCTGGGACCATTAAGTGGACTACTGCTTGAGTTGAGGTTTGTTGTTCCAGGCTAGGGCTAGTGTTGAGGCCCTGGGTTAAAGTTAGCATTTGGCCAGTCCAAGGCTAGCATTAGGATGGAGGCTGGGTGGTGGCCTCAAGTAGGGATGTTAAGGACTAGTCGACTATCTGATAAGTAAATGCTTATTGGATAGTTGACAGGATAATCGCTCCCCTGCCTTGCTGCTCTAATAGAGGCAGCAAGTGGGGGAGGGGAAGAAGGAGGTACTTTAAAGCGGCAGCACCGCATGGAACCCAGGATCAGCTGGGGACTGGTGGACCCTGGGTTCCGTGCAGCACTGCCACTTTGAAATGCCGCAGTAGTGTTTCAAAGGGACAGTGCTGCCCTATCGACTATTTAATTAGTCGATGCAAAAATGCATTGACTATTGGATTATTCAGTTACACGATGCTTAACATCCTTAGCCTCAAGCTAGTGTTGGGGGTTTGCCCTGTCTGTGCATCTAGGCTATTTTATCTGTGTGAAAGTATCTTAGTACCAGTTTGAGTGTGAATGCATAGTATCAGAGACACAAACATCACAATTGTCCACAGCCCTTATAACATTCCTTAATCCTGTTACTTGTATCACCAATTGCCACTGAATGGAATGTGCAGCTCTTGGAGAAGAGGTACTATTGCTAGGAGATCCCCAGAGGCATATGTGAGCAGGAAATATTACTTTTGCACCAGCTCCACAAAATTGCTGTCTATTAGTTTTCTTTAACTTTAATTTTGATTTATTCAAGGAAAAAAATGGGGGAATACAAGGTCCTAGGTAGCTGTAGCAAACTACACAAAGAAAATTAAACTGCCTACAGAACAGCAAATTTTCATCCTCTTACAAATCTGATGGTCTTTAAAAGCTCTCCACTGCTGCAACCCTTGTAAATAGACATGCTTTGCACTGAGCCATAAAGGGCAATACACTTAGGCTATTCTGGACTGGATGTGGGGGAACCTGGGCTAGAGTTGAGAGGCAATCACAGAGAAAACCCTGCTGCCAGCCCTTTCTTATTTAAATAAAAAAGGATCTAGTTCACGTGCCCGATTGATGCCAAAAGATTTCTCAGCAACAGAAAATTTGTCTCTTTAGTTATAAGAAAATTAGATTCTATTGCATGCTAAAAGGTGTATGGCAAACAGCTATAGCCACCATTTCAAATAACTTTGATCAAGACTACATGCTTGTTTACCTGTGAGAACTCTGCAGTGAGCCTATATCAAATAGTGCCTGTATGTAAAAACACCAGTTTGTTTATTGGTGTTGCTCTGATTAAGTACCTACTTGGTGATAGGGATATATTCTGGAGTTGTGCAGCTGCCAAGAAAACTCTGCAACTCAGGTTCATAATTTTACTCTCCTTGTTAATGATTCCAGTGCTCTGGTGGAACATTAGTGGCCTTTGCTTTGGGGAGAGAGAGAGGGGAGTTTTGAATCCCACACAAGGATAACTGCCTTCCTTTTGCCAGGGCTTAGGTGCCTATGTCCTGTTGCGGGGCAGTTTGAAAGACCCCTCTCATCAGTACTTCCTAGGTGCTTAACTCACAGCTGTGGATTACGTTGGGTTACAAGGTGCATAAAAGTTATACCAGAACACCCAGGTCTCTTGTGTTTTAAGGGCTGATCAGTTTTGATAGGGGAAGTGGCCCTTATTCTCTTGTTGACTGATTTCTATTGATGCCATTTACACTGGGGAATACTGACATCAGGTGGTCTATTAAATTAATCACAGGGATGCGTCTCTTGTGAATTCCCCATTCTCCTCTTGTCTTGGTTTAAAAATGTCAATGAAACAAAGCTGTTGGCAACCAGCTGCCCTGGATAATGTATTTTTGACTGCTTGATTGTATCTTTCAAGTAAAGCACTCAGCCTTTCAAGCAAAACATACACAACTATGTACTGAAGTCCATTGTGTTTTCTATATGTGCTGTAATCTCAATATTCCACTCTATAGCATAACTTTCTTAGAAACAAAAGAAGAGCCTTGTATGAATTCAGGCTTGTGTCTCACCAACAGAAGTTGTTCCAATAAAAGATATGGTCTCACCCACCTTTTCTCTTTCAAAAGAAAAAAGTATTTAAGGAAACCAAAAATCGTACTTATTGATTACCCCTGCAGAAACAATCCTTGCCCAGAAGCATTCTCAAAATGAACCCGCTCTAATAGTCTTGCTAATTAGAGCCCTGGATGCTAGTCTTCACAGGGCCCAATCCTGTGCCTTTTATGGAAGTGGGGGAAGGAACAGATCCATAATTTCCATTGAACTTTCTTGGAGACTGAGGGGCAATATTCTAAATTATGCACTGAGCTATCCTGTTCAGGTAGTTCAAAATTCTTCTCTGGGCTTCCATGTTCACCCTTTAACTGTATCAGTCTGTATGCACTGAATGTATGAACCTCACATCACAACATAAGCAATTTTTTAGTAGTCACATAAAAGACCAGTTTGCCCACTGTGGTAAAGAGATATATAAGGCTATGTCTATATTGTACTGTTTTGTGCAAGAAATATGCAAATGAGGTGAAGCATGGAATATTGCCATGCCTCTTTTGCATAATTAATGAGTGTCTGCTTTTTGTGCAATGTCTTCACTGAGACATTGACTTCTGCCTCTGATATGCTAATGTTGTCAGCTTCTTTCCCTGCTTTCTGCTATGCCACCCTTTAGGCTTCAGAGAAGCATCTTGTTAACCTCTGCAGTTTCCTCAAGTGGTTATTCTCCTTTGCTGTCCTGTCTACCAAATCTGGACAATGGGTAGGCTATTGGTGTGCGGAGTGCTTAGTCTAATACTTGTTTCCTTGTACTCCCCCATTCATCTTAGCCATTGGTTGTCTCTGGTGTTATACTTTGTGGCACAGACTTACTTTGTGTTGGTACATAACCTACCACAGCAGGGTCCAGGCCAATGAACAGGACTCCTACATGCCATGTTAATATAAATAGATAAGTTAAAAGTATATTTCAAAGGGTGGATATCATTTAGTCACTTTGGACAGACCTAGTTTATTGACACTAATATATTGGACATGTCATTATTTTGTGTTTGACCTATGTGTTCTACCATAGTATAGTGTTACAGGCATAAAGGCATATGAAGACACTATTAATGCCTCAAAAGCTTATGGGAAATTTTCCTTTAATTCCTCCAATTTAAGATTCATCCAAATCAGTACTGAGTCAAATCTTTCAGTGATTAACTTTAAATCGACTTCTGTAGAAGGAGAGGATGGCCATCTCAGTGAGCTGTATCTCTGCTCCTACAAATATGGTGTTTTTAAAAAGTAGCTCTAGAAACAATTAACATATAAACAGGTCTAGCAGGCTGTTGTGTGGGCAGTAAATGTCAGTCTCTTATCGGGTGCAAACTAAGTACTTATCAAATTACAAGCAGCTATTAGCGTAATCAAGAACGGTACATGTAATGGGCTCTTGGCTTCTTTTGAACACTAAAGGAAAATTGTCAAGGCTGGAGGGTCTAAAATTAGACTAGCTTTGCTTGAATTCAAATAGGTACAGTACACTACCAATCTGCTCTGTCAGCTGGTCTTGTGAAGGTTACCACTGGCAGATAAATGCACAAACAGCCAGCAGTTCTTGTTTATTATATTTCTCTAGCATGTCTGGAATGAATGGCACCTTCTGGATAAGACCCTTGCTGTGAGTTGCTTACAATCTAATGTAGCCTGATGGTAATAAGAAATAGTAGTAAGCAAAAACAGAAAACTGCTCTTGGAAGAGCACTAGACACACAATTCAGGTTATTTCACTTTGTATTTTTTTGGAGGGTGGGCTTTCAAATGGGAAATTCTAGTATATTTCTGGTGATGGAGCAAATGAAAACAGATAGAGGTTGTTGAGGAAGAAAGTAAATGTCAGAGGGGAAGGAAAGGTGCTAGCACAGGAGTTGGTGTGTAGTTGAGGGGTATGTCTACACTACAGGACAAAGTTGAAATTAAAATACGCAACTTTAGTTACGTAAATTGCATTGCTGTAGTCGAAATAGCTTAATGTGGTTTTTGGTGCTGTCCACACTGCAGGAAGTTGAAGAGCATTCTTCCTTCGACTTCCCTTACTCCTCATGAAAGCAGTGTTACCAGCATTGAGCGGCGTGCCTCTCTCACTTTGAGTTAGCTGTCTTAACTAGACCACTAATTCAAACCCTGGAAGATGGACTGTAGCAGCTTTGATCTTCCTCTGAAGTGTCGACGTACCCTAGCTGAAAAGCTGGGACAATTTTTTAGCACCACTCTCTCCTATATTTCTCAACATCCGGAATCATGTGAGACAGATTGGGTCACAAAGGTCCCTTTGGGGCTGTCACCCAGCATGCTGATCAAGCCACTGCGCCTGCTTACCTGCCTTCTAGGGTTCCCTATCACTCTCTCCTGCTAGGCCAGAATCTCTGGTCTCCCCTAGCCAAAGCACATCTAAGAAAGTTAGTTAATAACCTCCCCAGCAGAGCAATACCGTGCTGAACCATCTTAACTCGGGGGGCTCAGATACAGTGGTTGACAACACCCAGGAACACAACCCTCAAGAGACTAAAATCCAAATAAATTCATCTTACCCTGAAAAGGGTTTACACCAAGAACTCATAAATTCATCTTCTTTATCAATGAAAAAGAGAGATGCACAATGGTTGCTTTCTTCCACACCTCTTGGCCCTGTAATATTTATACTCAATTATTAACATTGGGCTTATAATAAAAGTGTTTTCATAAAATATAAACAGTAGGATTTAAGTGATTGCAAATGAAAACTCGTGGCTTCTTGCGCAAGTAATATGCAAATGAGGCTAAGCGTGGAATATCGCTGAGCCTCATTTACATACCGAATGAGCCATTTTTTCCAAAAGAGGCTCTTGTGCAAGGAGGAGCGTCTACACTGCCCCTTCTTGCGCAAGAAAAACCCTCTTGCGCAACGCCGTTCTATCCTGAAAAGTAATAGGTGTAACAGCATTGTGCAAGAGGGTTTTCTTGTGTAAGAAGGGGCAGTGTAGACACTCCTTCTTGCGCAAGAGCCTCTTCTGAAAAAATGGTAGCTCATTGGGTATGCAAATGAGGCTCGGCGATATTCCACGCTTAGCCTCATTTGCATATTACTTGCGCAAGAAGCCGCAAGTGTAGACATAGCCTTAGAGTTTGTCAGCATTGTTTTTAGGTTTCTTCTGTGAATCCTCTTCATGCAGAGAGGCAATTTCAAAAGACAATTGCTGATTGCTATCCATCTCTTAAATAGAATTGCCTCAGGAGAGGAATCCTTCATTTTATCTCTCCATCCTCATGGAAACATACCAGTTTCAAGGTCAATTCACCCACTAGGTGACATGGTGTGGCATAGTGGGGGTGCTATCTGCTCTGTAACCCGGGGTCCCCCTGCGCTGTGATGTGAGATTCTCACTGACTCTCCCAAATGTATATTAACCCAGACACCTAGGCTTAGTCTACCAGGGAGAGAGACAAAGGGAGGAAGGCGGAGACCAGCACCTGGCCGGGAGGAAGGGTCAGTTGCTGTCTGGGAAGCATGGAGAGAAGAGGCTAAGCTGGGGTTCTAGGGGCAATGGACCCCTAACTCTAGGGTCCTGAGGCATCCTGGGCCTGGGCCCTGTAGCCACATCACGTATGTGCTGTATCCTGAAGGAACAATAAGCCCCTCTCTATTCTATGACTGGCGGAGTCTGTTCTTGCTGCTACGGGGGAACCCTGACTGCGTCGTCACACATGGTCACATGTCTTTGTAAAACCAACCACAGTTCGGGCTTACAGGAAAAACAAATCAATTTACAGATCATTGTCTTCAGCACTGGGCCATTAAGTTTCCTTAAAGTACTACTAAGGGCTTTCACTTGAAGACTTTGATTAATAAAACAGGTTTACATTTCATATTTCTAACTTCACATACAAGAATGATACATGCACAAAACTAGTATATACACATTAAGCAGATCGTAACTTTAAAAATATTTCATGATGCATTTTGCTTAAGGCACCTTCAAATTATGCATATTCATATTTATAAGGCTATTTTCATAAAGCATGGAGGGGGTGTTCAAAAGTTAACTTTTAAGGAAGGTTAGATTTTTGGGCATGTAAGGATTTTTAATATGAGAGCACAGCATATTGCAGGGCTAGATAATAGTCCCTATCCACAGATTTGATTTAGAGTTCTAAATTAAAGTTTTCTGTAGAAAATTTCCAAAGGAATGTTTATGGCCAAATTTATTCAAGCTACCCCATTCTTACTCTTTATGGCAAGTACAGCTACAATACAATATTTATTATAAAATCCATGTTTATTACAGTGAAGAGTCACTTTGGATACAGAGCTGAATTGTCATAAGAGGTTTTTAAAAGTCTTGATTTTATTTTCTACTAGCATGTGAGGACCATTGATGACCAGGCAAAGTCATTTTGCATAGATTATACTTATAGGAAGGTTCGAGAAATTAAATATATGTAATAGAATTTTTTTATTAATGTGCTTGCAAAAGAGAAGTTAAAGAACAGTTTTAAATGTGTAGGATTTCAACTTCAAACATTATTCATTTTACTGAATAATTACCATACATAGTAAATTTGAATTAGAAAGTCATAGCCTATGTCTAGACTGGCAAGTTTTTCCGAAAAACTTGCCAGCAGTCTACACTGGCCGCTTGAATTTCCGCAAGAACATTGACTTCCTACTATCTGAAATCAGTGCTTCTTGCGGAAATACTATGCTGCTCCCGTTCGGGCAAAAGTTCCTTTTGTGCAAAGCTTTTGTGCAAAAGGGCCAGTGTAGACAGCTCAGATTTGTTTTGCGCAAAAAAGCCCCGATCGCAAAAATGATGATCGGGGCTTTTTTGTGCAAAAGCGCATCTAGATTGGCACGGACGCTCTGTTCAGAAAATGCTTTTAACAGAAAACTTTTCCGTTAAAAGCATTTGCGGAAAATCATGCCAGTCTAGACATAGCCCAGCTGTGGAGATGCCAGCATGGTGTGAGGCAGGATTCTGTTCAATTTTCCCCAGGTTGCAGTATAGTTGTGCCATAACTAATTTGAATTATTTTGTGAATTGTGACAGTAAAAATTTTCTTTGTACTAAAATGACAATTGAATAGGTGACTCAATTTTAATTTCGTTAACAATTTTTATAAACTCTAATGATAAGTCATGACTCTTTTCTGATGAAAAACAAAAATAATTATTGAAGCCTTTCACCCATTATATTCCAATGTAAATAGTAGTGCATTCAGTTGAGTGGCAGAATTATTTATGCAAAATTTGGTATTTGTAGCTAATCATGAAGTATGACTTTATTGTGCACAAAAACTCACTCTTCAAAATATTTAGTAGATACTAGAAGTGAACTACTGAGCTGGAATAAAGTATATAAAACTTAAATGTTCAACATTTCAGAGGGGTTTTTTACTGCTACTTGATGTAGTGAAAACTTTTACAAGTTCCTGGGACTGGATGCAGAACAGCTCAATGTAACACAAATACTCAATGATAAGCAACCATATCTAAGAACAGCAGTTATACACAATGCCAAATCCGCTACGTAAAAAGACCTGCCAAATCTGCAGGTTTTCTGTACAAATGAGAATACTGAGCCACGGGGTCTTTTTTTAAAAAATAAAGTTACAAAATTATGAAGAATCATCCAGGCCAATTGAGCCTAATTCCATTTGAATCAAAACATGACTCCCATTGACCTCAAGAAAATTGATTTGAGCCCTTATGGTATGTCTACACTGTACAGTAAGTAGCCTGTGGGACTTGTGTTTGTAGACCTGGTGTTTTGCAAGCCTACACTTGTGCATCCATGTTGCATTAGAAACCCATACCTTTGAACTGTGTTGATGTGCCCGTACTATGTGACAGATGTGACAGGCTGTTGGTGGAAGCATATCTGCCAGAGTACCTAGTACCTATGTTTGATACAAACACTCTTGTACTTGGTTCAAGGGGATTTTTGAATTTGGCCATGCTATATGAATTATGTGGAAGTGGAGCCAGCTGCTATATCCAACTAAGTCATTTTTGAATTTGTACAATTCCAGCAGCCAAAGTTGTCAAAATGGAGCCTAGCCTGGTGGAAGAACTTCTCCAGCTCACTTGGTGAGTCCTGCCTCAGAGCGTCTGACACACACTGGTGGATGCTTTTGTGGCAATATTTGAACTGTTGAAAGCACCTTTCAGAGGGGCCACAGCATGACAGCTATGACTCCCCAGGATGCTGCTCATGTCTCTTGCCATAGCTGTGTATTCCCTTTATGTAGATCAGCACTACTGGAGCAGGGCTACAAGCAGAGACTGGGCTCACAAGGACCTGGATCTCTAGCAGTGCTCTATAACCTTGTTACATAAAGAAGCAGCCCTACAAGCATGCATAAGGGAGACTGTGTTGAGTCAGATGGTCACAGTAGTCATCTGATATGGGTCTGTTGCCAACCAATTTGGAGTTGGCAAGACAAGGCTGGAGATCATTGTGGGAGGTTTGTAGTGTACCTAAAGTGGTTGGTATTGCAACAATTCCTGAAATAAGTGCTGGCTTTCAGAGAAAACTGAGCCAGGGCTCATGTGCCCAATAGTCTGCCCTCTATAAGGAGCACTAGTACATAATTGGCTGGGGTACTACATCATTATGCAACCCTGGCCAACCATAAAAGCAGATTCGTGGACAAGAACATGGGATGCAGTGGCGGAATGCATGCCAGGGTTTCACAGAGATCAGAACTTTACCTTTATTGACAAGCTCAGACATTATTCTTCCCTGAGTGACACTGTATAAATGGAGTTATTGTTCTCATGTTATTCTAGTGGACCAATGCTCACCCTGTACTGCCATGGCTAGCACTATACATTTATTCTGGTGGGCACAAAAGGTCACACGTCAATTTTTCTATTATTTTCCCCAGAGATTTTTCTAAAGAGTGAGTCATAGTCTCAGTGTAGAGGGGAGGCCTGAGAGCTGGGGGTTTGAAGAACTAGGCAGTGCAGGGTAGATTTTGTTGCAGCACCACTTGCGTTCGCCCTGACCACTTCCCTCTTGTGGCAAGGGTGAGAAGGTCTTAACACCAAATAGGGGGCTGAGCCCAGCCCTGGGGGAAGTGCTACTGGAGCAGTCTTATGCTCCACTATGCATCCCCAGCCTCCCCTTTGCTTGAGGTGTGGTTAGTAATAGGACTGTGGATGATTGGTGCCCCCTCTCTGTAAAAGCAGATTCGTGGACAAGAACATGAGAAAAGAGGGAATTAAAAAAAAAGTAAGACTAATTTGCTGCATTGTTTGTGTTTATCCTTTCTAGTCAATAAAATTATACATCTGTTAAACATGAAAGCTCTCATGCAATTCAGTAAAACTTCTTTTCCACCAACCCTTCTGCAATAAAACAAAAACTGAAGAATGTCAATATTTAAGTCTGCTACCCCAAAATTACATATCTTGACAGTGCTCCCTTTGGAGTGAAAACTTAAGCTATTATTGTCAGCTGTTATTTAATTGTTTTAACATATTGAATTACTAAGAGGTTCAGAATTCTAATGATTTCAAATGTATATTGGACATTTATTCATGTTAAATGTACGCACTGATATTGGCAATTAGAATAGTGCAGTATATCCTGCAATGAGTAAGGGTGGCAAGCATTGCGAGTGAGAGGGCTCTACAGGCATACACTTGTATATTAGAGGAACAACCTGTGTACTTGTATTTATCAGAAATATTGTTTGTAGTACAAATTTATTCAACATCTTTTACTCAAGAACCTCAATGTACTTTTCAAGCATATCTAGCCTAATAACTCCTGTGAAGAAGATAAATGACTTTTACAGGAGAGAAAGCTACAGAACATCTGACAGTCAAGAACAGAACCCTTTGCTCTTGACTCATCTTGCATCTTAACTTCAAAACAATCCTGTGGATTCACCTGATGCTTGCATTCACATTGCAGAAGTTAGAGAGAAAGCAGCATGAGAATATCAAGAATATGCAGGTCTTACATTGTGACATTCATCGTGAGTTTTAATTTTACCGATTCTGATCCCCATCAGCAGTTTTGTGTAACACAATCTTATTTATGGGTAAAATAGGTTTTTATGCATAGCCTTCCATATTCATGAGACTACATGAATAGCTACAATTAGTTTAACAGTTCACATGAGTTATACTCTCGAGAAACTGAGTGCATTAACTAATGCATATCCTTATTCTGTCATCATATCAGAACCTTCCCCCCCAGTTGCATCCTGGGATATGTGGAGATCCTCTAACATGTCAGTCAGACTGATTCGTGGAGCATCTTCATCATCTGTGTCACTCTCCACTGGAATTTTTGAATCTATGGAATTAAAGAAAAACCTAATAAGGAAACATCTCCAAGAAATGTCATTCCTTAAAGCTATTACATCACTACGTGTGTCACTTTCATGCAGGCTTCTGCATTACAGAATACTAGAACTCGAAGGGACCTTGAAAAATCATCAAGTCCAGTCCCCTGCCCTCATAGCAGGAACAAGCATCATCCTCCCTAGGTAATTGATTCCAGTGTTTAACCACCCTGAATTTTTTCCTAATGTCCAACCTAAACCTCCTTTGCTGCAATTTAAGCCCACTGCTTCTTGTCCCATTGTCAGAGGCTAAGGAGAACAATTTTTCTCCTTCCTCCGTGTAACACCCTTTTAGATCCTTGAAAACTGGTATCATGTCCCCTCTGTCTTCTCTTTTCTAAATTAAACAAGCCCAATTCTTTGTCTTCCTTCATAGCTCATGTTTCCTAGACTTTAAATCATTTTTATTGCTCTTCTCAGGACCTTCTCAAATTTCTCTACATTTCTTGAAATGTGGTACCCAGAACTGGACACACTACTCCAGCTGAGGCCTAATCAGTGCAGAGTAGATCAAAAGAATGATCTCTCATGTCTTGCTCACAACAGTGTCACACTGATAAATATTTAGCTTGTGATCCACTATGACCCCTAGATCCCTTTCTGTAGTACTCTTTCCTAGACAACTGCTTCCCATTCTGTGGAGTACTTTGCATTTGTTCTTATTAAACTTTATCCTATTTGCTTCAAACCATTTCTCTAGTTTGTCCGGATTTTGAATTATGACCCTATCCTCCAAAACAGTTGCAACTTCTCCCAGCTTGGTGGTATCTGCAAACTTAATAAGCATATCCTCTGCCAATATGTAAATTATTGTTGGGATTGGTTCTGTTCCAAATCTTCAACATACCTCTGTGGAATCCCACTTGTTATGCCCTTCCGCCCTGGAGAGCGCTCTCATTTGTCTCTGTATTCAGTCCACTAATGAACAGTTTCCCAGGATGATCCTCTTCAACCTTTTTGATTCTGTTAGGAGCCGATGAATCCACAGCCCGGGCTGTTTGGCACTACACCAAGGCTGTGGATTTGTGGGGTCCTACTAGAATCAAAATGGTTGAAGCAGATGATCCTGGGAAATGGTTCATTGGTGGACTAAATAGAGACCAATGAGAAAGCTCTCATGGCTGTATTTGGCAAATATGGGTGCATTATAGACCAAACCTTCTCACAATAGAGTTCCCCCTCCCAAATTAGACTTCCAATCCTACTTTCACTGCAGATACAAACATGAACACACAGTAATCAAAGACTGAAAAATATCTACTGATGTTATAACTAAGTAATATGCATTCTTTTAAGTGTGTATCACTTTACCCTGAGCATTCAAATCCTTCTCAATTACCAGAAGCTAAACTAAAATTCGAGTCACAAGTGTTGTGTGTGGTTACACTGTTGAGGAAGATTTACCTTTATAAATATTGACATTTTTTCTAATAGCCTCGTCTTCTTCAAGATCTTCAAGGAAGTCCTGGTACTGCCTAAAAAGCAACACACTCAGCTGAATACATTACCCCATCTCTTTTCCTTTAAACTTATGCAAACGCTGGAGTCTGGCAGGCTAACAGCCCCATGGAATCTAAACTCAGTCATGCCAGGTAACTAGTTAGGACCATTCTGATAGGTCAAACACTACTACAGGCTAAACTCTCATAGGAATGGAGGAGAGAGACACTCTCAGATAATTCCTGACATTAATAAGTACTCTTTTTTCATTATACACTGAGAATACTTACACTTTATAAAAGCTGCAGCTATGTGCTTCAAACACATATTACATATTAAAAAATTTGCTTATATTTCTATAGGTTCTGTGATAATCAGTGCACAAATAGCAGAGTCCTAGCTCCATCCCTCATATCCCAAGATACCTGAATACGTTAAAGACAAACAACTTTAGGATTGGGGAAGAAGGGTAGGTGTAACTCTGGCTATGTCTAGACTACATTCCTCTTTCGAAAGAGGAATGTAAATGAGGCAAATCGAAAGGGCAAATGAAGTGCAGATTTAAATATCGCACATTTCATTTGCATATTTGTGGCCGAGCGCTTTTTCAAAAAAGGTTTGTTTTTTTTTTTGAAAATGCAGCCTAGACAGTTATTTGACCCTCCCCCCCTTTTCGAAAGAACCCATACTCCTGAAAAAATGAGGTGTACTGGTTTTCGAAAAAGGGTCCCCCCCCCGAAAGGGCCACGTCTATACTATGCTTTCACTTTCGAAAAAGTGCTCAGACACAAATATGCAAATGAAGCATGGAATATTTAAATCTGCGCTTCATTTGCACTTTCAATTTGCCTCATTTACATTCCTCTTTCAACAGAGGAATGTAGTTTAGCCATGCCCTCACTGACCACAACCTTGCTACTTGCATGGATTTAAGGCACTTATTTATTTCTTGGGCATGCGGTCAGCAATTCAGTAACTGCTCTACATCTCACTTCTTTGCTCCCCTCAAGGCCCGGAAAGCATCGTGCATGAAGAAATGATTACAGAATTTGCTTCCTTAGACACAAGCTCTTGTAACATCCCCTTTTTGTGTAGCCTATAGGGCTAACCTGCTTGCTTATATATATAATTTATTATTTCCTGTGGTTTTAATGATGTTTATTATAATAAAGTTATAGTAGATTTATATTGGCAATGTGGATGTAAAACAATGGACTTATAGGCCATACCCTGTGACCTTTCATCCAGATAGCAAAATCAATGCACATATATTCAAGGCCTTTCACCTAGATCAGGGGTGTCCAAACTTTTTTCAAAGAGGGCCAGATTTGATGAAGTGAACATGCGTGAGGGCCGACCATTTTGCCTGACATTCTTTGAACCATTAAAATTAAATGCAAATTAACTATTTTATGCAAAGTTTATTGCAAACGGCATACTTTTCATTTCGTCACATGGATGACAAATCTAAACAGGTGTTAAATCACTCTGCCTTTCATATCTGAAGGCCAGATGAAAAAAAAATCCAGGAAGCTGAAATATATGTCAGGAACATTGTAAAGTACATTACATATTATTGGTAATAAAGGTTGTCTGTCAACTTTTAAGTTCAAAAAATATGAACAGGAACATAACACCAAGTATACATGTTGTGTCCAAATATATTTATAACTGATTTAGACCAACTGACATTAACTGAGATTTTACAATGTATTCATCTCAATACATATGGATTCGTTGGGGGCCAAAAAAGATAGATATTGCCAAATTACCTGTGGGGCCGTATTAAACCAGAACACGGGCCGCAATTGGCCCGCGGGCCGGACTTTGGACATGCCTGACCTAGATAAAGCAACCTTCAATTGCATCGGGGCTTCCATGAATACCCTCAAATGTAGCAGGTACATCATTGCTTGGAAAAACCTGAAATAACTGGTTAAGATCGGACTGAATAATGGGTAGGACAGAAACAACAAATATGATAACTACAAAAGGACCACTGATAATGAATTGACATATATGAGAAGTTGAGATCAATGACATCCTAACTTATAGGAAAAAGACACTTTACCATTAATAAGGGGAAGAAACATAAGCAAGGAGAAAAGGAAATGTCCCCTACTCAATATGTATCAAATGTAACATACTATAAAAGTGCATCTCCCAGCCTAGAGGCAGTACAGACTGGATCTCCCTGGTCTGGCATCCTCGGGACCTGACTGGTCCCAGATCAGAGATTTTATCTATACCCCTGCCCTGCTGGCTCCAACTGCTGCCCTGCCCCCCAAGCAGGCTTCCCTGCCTCCTCCCCCCTGCCCGTAGCCCAACTGAGCTGCACACCCAGCTTCCTGGCTCCACCACTCCCACAGCACTGGGACGCTCTCATCCTAGAACATCTGTGGTCCTGCCACACCACGGAGGTTGCCAGACCAGAGAGCTCTGGTTTATAGAGGTGGAACCGTAGAAGACGTCCTTGCGAGGTTGTCAGAATGATGGCCACTAGTGATTATGGGGAATGCAAAGGTGATGAGGAAGACGACGACTAATGCCTCAGGTTGCTCTAGAAGGAATGGCGCGAGTATTATGGAACGGAAACATAGATGTGCAGTCTCTATCTTGTGAAGCTGTGGTGTTTGTGACTGTGCTAAGTGTAATATTAAACTATATTTGTAAATATATAAGAGTTCCTAGAGTGTAAGTGTTGTAACTGTGTACATCAGGATTCCCAATCATAGAATAATTAAAATACTGAGCCTGATTCTGGGACAAAGGACCTGTCAACCGTAAAGGCAGTAACAGGAAATTCCTAAGTAATCTAAGATTGAGCAGCATTTATAAGTCACTCTTTGTGTAATGTATAGTTATAGTACGTCACTATTATTCAGTAGCTTTTACATCCAATTTAACTCTAATATTTTGCTTCCATTTTCCAGTCATTTATGTTAGTCAGCTGTCATAATTTACAGTTGAACATACCAATGACAAATACTTTTTCTGCCTTGCAGATATCTCTTCAGACAACTTAATGTATAATTGGTTGCCCCACAGACAGGTGGTCAGTGACCCTACTCAAATCATTCCAGCTTTTATTTTTAAGTCTTTGAAGTCACTGTTTATACTGTGTAACTCTGTCCTTTAGTAATGGCTGTCAAAGAGGGATGAGATTTCACTCTAAGCATTCAGAGCTAAATTGTGCCTTTGCAGTAGGGAGCAGGGAAGAACGCCGGGAGACCAGACCTGATCAACTATCCTAATACAGTGAGCATGCACTCTCCTAATGCAGTGCCACTTGTACCTGCCTGTGTTGAAAAAGGAGAGGAGTGGTGGGTGACTCCACTTACTCTGGATACCCTGGAGCTCTGCTAATTGGTACTGAATCTAGTTCATGCTCAGAAGAGATTAAGAAATGCTACCATTACTAGACCCTACACAAAGGGTTCAAGGGGAGGAGTGAGGAAAACGTTATTGAGCAGAAACCAACCTTTCATCATCTGTATCCATGCCTTCTCTGTCCCTTTCCAGTGCTTTCAGTTTCCAGTTCCTGCGACGCTGTCGTTTAGTACGGTCATAACTCTTCTTTATTAACACCTACACAAAAGATACCATGTTAGACAAGCTTTCTGTAAAACAGGGACATTCTTTAAAAATATTTGGAGTCTGAATTTATGTCTATGATATGAACTGAAGTAATATGTGATTCACTAGATCAGCGATAGGCAAACTAGGCTAGTGAGTGGGCTTCATGAGGGGCCCGGCCCTTCTTCATCTCAGTGGGCCACAAGATGATTTCCCAGGATAGAGTAGTTTTGCTAACAGTGTTTGCGTACTTAGACTGTGTGGATTTGCCCACTGAACCATAGCAGGCCTTTGAGTGGATGAAGAGGGAGTGCACAGCTCTCACAGTCAATGCTGAGTGCAATCAACATCATCTCACTTCGTACCCTTGATTTACATGTGTGTCACTTTAGTAATACCAATATGAAAAAACCAACATGGACAGAAACCAGCAGAATCTGGCCACACTTATGCATAAGAAATGGTAAACAAAATGTCTTACGGGCTGCTGCCCACCATTGCATTAGATGAACATGATGATCCTGTGTGACCTTAAAGCCTGCGGATCTTTGAACCATGGAATTATATTGTTATGAATTCTACAAGATAATAATTGGTCACAAGAAAGCAGTACCTCATCTGTGAATATAGGACTGAGTCAGTTCTCACAATATAAAAATAGCGCTTGTCATACTAACGACTCTGAGTCCATTCCTAGCTTCATGTGTACGGGAAGAACAGTACAGTGTTTTCATAGCACAGATAGGTCACAAATTTCAGGGAAGGAAATGGATCTTACAGACTCAAAACAAGAAGGGACAATTGTGATCATCTAATTTGACCTCCTGCATAACAGGCCACAGAACCTTCCTGAACTAATTCCTGTTTGTTCTAGGGCATGTGTTTTAAGGATTTAAGCGACTAATCAGCTACCCAGTAAGCTTAGGGCTTATCGGATAGTTAAGTCACTACTCAACTTAGTTGTTTCCCCCCCTGCTTGCTGCCTCTGTATCAGCAAGCTGGAACTCAACTGTCCGGGCGTGTACCTGGTCCCAGACTACTGCACCTCTGCTTTTTAAATGTAGTAAGAGCCTAGTGGTTCCTACTACATTTAAAAAGTGGAGCATAGTGAACTCCTCTTATTGACAAATCGAGCAGTCAATGGAAGTTCCAACGACTACTTGATTAGCCACCTAACTGCTATTTAACATTCTTAATGTGTTGACTTGATTTCATTCTGATACACATCAGGGAAAATGTAAACAGCTAGAATATAATTTCTGAAACTGGAATTTGACTAGGATGCTTGTGCTAATACTTCCATTTCCCCATATTTTTAGGTGAGGCCTACAACATACATTTCATAGATCATACCATCTCATCTTTAATAAAGCACAGGAAACAAACTTCCCTACAAGAATGGAGACTCCAGGATCTTACCACATCAGGAACATTTTGTGGGTTCATCTTATTTGCAAATTCGTCATTGAGGTTACAATTGGCCAAGTCAAATCTGAAAGGAATATTTTAAAACACACACTTAATAACACGAGTACTTAACCTTTCATGTTTTATACTTCCAAGACGACACACAGTGTAATTACAATTTTATAGTTCATACAAAGATACAATACTTTCAGAAAGACATGATACACAACAGGGAAGAAAATCCATGCTACTAGGCATCCTCATTAAACAAGTTAAACTCGTCACATTCTAAGATACATCATTTATATACTCTCCCAGTATCCATTAACTGATCAAGTACATTACATGCTATCAAGCTACAGAGCAAAGCCTTCAACCTGTTCTGCTGTTTCCATCTCTTCCTGACTTCTCACACACTCCAATATGACTTGTTCAAAGACCAAGTCACTACCTTGACATTTTAAATCCCTGCCAAGCCTCTCCACATCCAAGCAGTCCATGTATGTCAGATGTGCACTCTACACACTCACTGGAATGACTGACCGCTAGCTGAATGACCCCATTCCAATCTGACTTTTGTCCCTCTATATCATTGAATATACACTTCAGTTAGTCTATAAGGTGCCACAGGACTCCTCGCCGCTTTTGCAGATTCAGACTAACACGGCTACCCCTCTGATACTTTATACCATTGAGATGTTTCTCATTGAGGTAACCAAAGACACCTTCCTGACCATAGCCAAAGGCCTTTTCTCCACCCTTATTTTTAATACCACAATTTAAGTTCACCATTCTGTAGGTAAAACATGAACCTGAGTCAAATCCAGAGCAACTTCCAACAGATGTGCTAGCTCTTCAGTGCAAACCGTGTGTGAGTGTGAGTGAGAGAGAGAAAACGAATTAGATTAATTTCCAAACATGCACAGGCAGCAGGAGCGAGTCCAAAGGTGCAATTTTTCAAATGTTTGGTTAAGATGGACATGTCAAAAATAGAAAAACCTCTCTTCCTAATAACCCTAAACCTTTTCCTACAATGACAAAATTACAAGATCTGTTCTGTCCCGCATACTCTGCAACTATGGGGTCACTGTTTCAGGAAGTTGAGATTTTACTAACCTGTAGAATCTGTTTCCGGCCATCAAACACTGATTGAAAATATCAAATAGCAATACAAACCCCAAGACGAGGTCTCCAGGATTTAGAAGGTGCCCCAAATGAGTGCGACAGAAATACTGATGATCTGTATTCATCTCAGAGGTTTTCTGTACCCAGGCTTCAGCAAGAGTGTGCTTGAGAAATGGAAAAACATTTTTGTAATGAAATACAGATGGCTTTATTTGCTTATGCTACATTGCACAGAAGTGTTTTAATTGTGCATTTCACATTGCATCACAAATACTGGATTTTTCTGTATCCAGTTTCTATATCCATTTTCTCCTCCTTAATGATTGCTTTTTTTTAAAACTGAGGATAAACCCACCCACCCGATTTTTTTTCACAGCCCCCATATAGCTTTCCTCCTATAAATACGATTACAAGGGTTGTTTTCACTAATGTATGTACCAAAGAGGGTTTCTGGACTAAGCTAATATTGTTTGGTAAGGAAATACAACTACTTTGACCAGCAAAGCAACAGTTAGACATTATTACATAGAAGTCTCTAAATAGCACAGACGAGTCAAGCCACATTCTTGTGTTACTAAGAAAGAACTGCTACAAGATCTGTAAAAACTAGTAAGAGGGGTGAGTGGACTTCTGACTTGTCCCTAGTACTAATTTGACCCAGGAATTCAGGTGGTATATTTGTGAAGATTGTTCAAATTCAGTTAATTTAGTTTTAAATGCTGGACTGAAAAAAATTGTGCCTAAGAGTAAAAAGTTTATAACAAAATCAAATTTTAACTTCACCTGAAACAGAATTATTTTTGAAAAGGGAATTCAAGTGAAGTGTATGCAATTCCAATAGAAATGATAGATTGCACCTTCCTGTTCACCAGCTAACAGCCAGAAATATTTGGAAAAATGCAACTTGCTTTGTAAAATGGAGTGAGACAAAACAGAATTCCAGACAAGGAACCAGGTTTCAAAAATTTTAAATAAGGCAAATAAACTTACTTTTTTTGATTTCATTCCTGCACCTGCACCTAGTTTTCCTGCTTGGACTCTGGTGATATCTATTACAATGAACTCCTCCAACTGCTTTGGATGGAACAAACTATTGAAAGGGTGACGCCAGTAAGTGTTTCCATCAATGTCAGCAACTGAAAGAGCAAATACAGACATTCATGCGCAAAGGAAAACTGCTTTCAGACTCAACATACAAAATATGTATTACTAAGTCACACAACAAGACAACTGCCAAATGATCAGTGATTTTACATTTCAGCAGAGTAGATGCATTGAGGCCAGGTGTACATTATAAACTTCTGCTGGTGTAGGATTATCAAAATCAGGGTGCAACCTGATTGACAAGAGTCCTTAGTATAAATTAAATTACTCCGGCAATACTGTGCTTTTGCCACTATCATTTATTGTTAGGAGAGGAAGCGAAAATTGAAATATGAAAAGGAAAGACTCTGAATTTTGTTGGTATAAGCTGCATTCACATGAGAAATGCTTTGCTGGTAAAATATTCTGATGTTGCTATTTCCACAAAGTGCTCCTAGTGCGGACCTGAGTCACAAGTTACACAGCACTCTATAGCTCCTTAATTTTAAAGGAATATCCCTATGATTTAAAAAAACAACAAAAAAACCCCCCACCTAAGGCCTTAAATCTAAGTTTTTCCAGCATATCACTTTTAACTGACACACCTGTAATGGCAATAACCCTAATGTAGACAGTTTGTTCTGATATAAGCTAAACCCACAAAAAGCACTTTTTTGTCAATATAAGCTTCAATTTAATTATCAAGTGTAGTAAGATAAAGGCTTAAAATAAAAGCCTATGTAGCACAGGCCTGGTTTGAGGCCTAGCTAACAATGGACAAAACATGGCTAACAAAGCAAAGTTAAGCTGTGAGCACGAGGCGGGCCCCTGCTCACAGAACTTGGCATGAACAGGGCTGAGAGTGCAAAATGCTAATTGGTAATAGGCCAAGGTGTAGAACAGTAATTGGTACTGATCATAAATGGAAAGCACATGGTACTACCAGCTCATTTAAAAAAGACCTCGGTACATACTCCTGATACAGACCCACGTTCAGGAAAGGGTCTAAAATGACAGCATGACAGACAGATGATCTAATCATTCCTCGAGGTACAGGGCAATAGGTGGTATCTAAGTAGCATCAAAGGGTGGCAACCTGACAACATCAACAGTGATGTATAAGTTGTTAGTACCTGTATTTAAAGTGGCCTTTATATAATCTAAGGGGCAGTGGAAATTTCCCACTGAGTCATTAGGGGGTACATCTGCATAGTGGTTCAGTAGAATCCACTGATAACTATTGCTATACTTTGCTTAATAATATATCTGACCGGCCACCTTAGATCCTTATCTGGTTTGTGGTCTTCAGGGGCTCTCTGGGGTCTGCTGTGGAGACTAAGTGCACAAGTCGACACAGCACACGTCACTGAGCACACATTCACAAGCAGCCTTCTGGTTATCATCATCAGTGGAGTCAGAGACCTGTGAGGACATCTCAGCAGTAAATCCTGACTGCCTCCTAACTAACTGCATCAGGGATGGCTCGGAGATCTAAAACAGTAAACAAGCCTTATATGACACTGCAAAATAACAAAAGTAGAGAATTCAGGGGCCAAGAGATTAATTACTTAGTTTGCCGATAACGTGTTTGGCAGCGAGAAGACTGATTTAGTCTTTAAAAGTTAATGTCTGAAGCATAAGATATTGTGTATCAGGAAAACAACTTACTCTGCAGAGTATTGGGATCAAGGAGGTGAATGGTACTTGTTACTCTGATGCATACACAAATCTGGTGCATGTTCCCAAGGCTCTGTGCCAGTTTTGGAGACAGACATACAACATTGTCCTGTGTACCAAGAGACAAAATTGCATACATTTTCTTGTTTTTAATATTCAGATTTTTAACAGAGTACTAAAACTTTTTTAAAACAAGTCCTTAAATTAAGTTTGAGAATAAAACCACTATCACCATTCAATATAGATGCTACAAAAAAAAAACCAACTTGGGGGATGAAAACGTCTACAATAGGGTGTGGTAGATAATGGAGTTTCTTATGTTCCCATGGAGGGCACTTGGTAAGAGCTTTTTTAGTTACAGTGCAGAACCACTTTCTCAACCTTCAGTTGAATGTCTATCAGCATAGTGTACCTTGCATGATTCCCCTACTTAGAAAGTTTTGAATAATTCTGTACACTTGAGGAAAGATGAGGTTATACCATATTCTGTTTTTGAAGTTTCTCGAAAGATCATTCTTTACTTTTTCAGAGATTAACATTAATTATTCTCAGGGTGTAAAGTACAGATAAGAAGTCAGTAGTCTAGATCTGTGTCTCTTAAATTAGCAAAAATGCTCAAAAGATAAAGATGTTTTACACTATTTAACTATAGTATATATTGAGCAGGGCTCAAACTTGTGAGAAGCAATATTTTTTCTTCACTATTTAAATGACTAGGCTATAAACAGTGAAAATATTTTCAGGTAAGCTGTCTAAAATACAGGTTCTCTCTCCCTCTTTTAACATAAATATTGTAGTAGTGCCCAAAGGCCCTAATCAAAATCTCATTTAAGCCCCACTGTGCTAGGCTCAGTATAAAACACATAAAGACAGTATTTCAGCCCTGAAAAACTTTTCATACTTGGATGCAGTTATATTTTTTAATTGCCCAGAATTTTGTGTTTTGTATATATTTTGCTTCTCCTGCTACTGTAAAACTGGGACTGAGAGAAACCCACATGACATCCTAATACCCACTATCATAGCTAACAATTATCTTCATTTGGGTCAAGCAAACTTTCAATATGGAAGAAGTGCAAATGAATACATAGTGCACGGGTATATGTGGAGTGTAGTGGAATATGCATTTATGACAAAACACTTATGAGTGCAAGTGAGAGCTAACTATACCAGAATGGTCTCTATAGCCAGCAAAACACATTTCACATGTTAAACAATACAAAACATAGGTGGTATTCTGATGGTAAATATGTTTCAGTGATATGAGCCAAAAACTCATTTTGGAAGATCTTTGGATGTAATTCTTAAGCCATCATCTCTCTCAAACACTTCACAGAATTGTGCACCAAACTTTTTAGTCAAGTTTCATGGGATGAACTCTGGCATATAAACTTTGAGGTCAATTGGTTTTGCTTTTTATGTAACTTTATGGTTGCACTGCACATTGGGCTAACAATTAGTATGGATTTCAGGCAGAGTATGGGAAACAAGCAGTCTCTCCTTTCCAAAATGATTGTGAGCACACTTTTTAAAATACTCTCCAGTTAATTAAGTGCTTGTTGAGTACTTTGTTCCATAGGAAAGTGTTTATCTTAAAAGAGCCCATTTAAAAAAATCCTGCCTCATCAAAATTAGGAATGTTAACTATTAGGTATTTGTGTAAATGCGTAACTGCTAAAATTTCAAGCGGTTAGAGTGTACACGTGGGGGGGGGGCAGGCTGGAGCTGGTTTTTGTCTGCCATCTCCCGCTGCCTCTGATAAAGAGGCTGTGCAGGAGGCTCCACAGGAGTAGATATGCGCAGGGAGCTGGTTTGAAAGTCGCTTCCCAAGTGTACCAGCTCCCATTTACCCCCCTCTATCAGAGGCAGCAGTGGGGAGGTGGGGGGGAGGGGCAAAATCAGTGGGATTAACCCAGGCTTATTGGTTAATCATGAAGTAGACTGCACACTGACATCTCTAATCACAATCTTCATAAAAAAATTACTAGTGAACTACAGCCATAGTAATTTGGTAATATTGTATCCCTTATTTTTTAAAAGAGGAAAGCTACCTTGCATATTGGAACAATCTCCACTGAAAAAGTGCTTTTGTAATTGTAGGCATTGCTATGAATATCATGAGAAATCAAACGCTGGGATGATTTTGATCTGAAAAACATAAATAAAACTTTAAAGGAGCAAAATGAAGCATAAGAAATAAACAGATTTAATTATCTTCTGTATCTGAATAAAATATCGTTAAGTAGAAAAAGATCTGCAAAGATATGGTTTTATATCATAAGAACAATAGAAATAATATGGGATACAGGACAATAGACAAAAGAGTTCATTCCATGATGTCTCAGCTGAGGAAAAAACTGGGAACTTATGTGGGATGAGTCTTTTGTAATTACTACAGAGAACTGCTGGTTCTGCACTTTGCATATGGATAAAGGATCATTACAGTAATTTTCAAACAGCTCCTGAGAATATGAATTAGAATATGATAAATTATGGCAAAATACCTGGAAGGAACTGTACACTGGAGAAAGTCTACCATCTTCTGGGCGTGTTGCTTTGACCCATAATAGAAATCCAGGCCATCTTAAAGAAAATACAGCTACATGAAGATACCTATTTAAAGTACAATATATTGGTTTTCACTGAAAAACAAAGGGCTATATTATTCAAAATTAGGTATCCAAGTAAGCATTGAGCACAAAAACAGAATGCTAGTACTATTTTTTTCAGGCTTGACAAAGCCTTCCAATTCCGATTCCTTCAGTCATTTTCTATAAAGATTATTGGTAAGATGCTTCACTTACCATGAATCTCTTTGATCCGAAGAGTATTTTGATGAAGCTTGTGCTTTAAAATCAATTGTTCCAAGTAGTAGAAAGTCTTTTTGTGCAGAGTCTAAAGTTAAAAAGTCAAATACAGATTAGATTATGAAAATTTAACAATCTTCAAGTCATCTGCAAAAGAAAATCAGTATTATTATCCCAAAATTACAGGCAGGGAAACTGATTAAGCTTAAGCAAAATGCAGGACAATGTAGCACTTTAAAGACTAACAAGATGGTTTATTAGATGATGAGCTTTTGTGGGCCAGACCCACTTCCTCAGATCAAATAGTGGAAGAAAGTAGTCACAACCATATATACCAAAGGATACAATTAAAAAAATGAACAAATATGAAAAGGACAAATCACATTGCAGAACAGAAGGGGGATGCGGGGGGGGGAGGGGGGGGGAGGAAGGAAGGTAAGTGTCTGTGAATTGATGATATTAAAGGTAGGGAGAGTGGGGTGTTTGTGAGTTAATGGTATTACAGGTGATAATTGGGGAAACTGTCTTGGTAATGGGTGAGATAGTTCAAATTCTTGTTAAGTCCTTGTTGGCAAGTGTCGAATTTTAACATGAATGACAGTTCAGAGGATTCCCTTTCAAGTGCAGATGTAAAAGGTCTTTGTAGCAGAATGCAGGTGGCTAAGTCATTTAGAGAGTGTCCTTTCTGGTTAAAGTGGCAAGAAACTGTTTTCTCTTTGTGATCTTGTCTGATATCTGTTTTGTGGGCATTAATCCTTTGGCGAAGTGTCTGAGATGTTTGTCCAATGTACATAGCAGACGGACACTTTCGGCACATGATAGCATAGATTATATTTCTGGATGCGCAGGAATATGTGTTCTTGATCTTATAACTCACTTGGTTAGGTCCAATAATGGTATCAGCAGAATGAATATGTGGACAAAGCTGGCAACGGGGTTTGTTGCAAGGGAAGGTACCAGGGTTGGTATTAGTGTGGTATGTCCTGATTAAGCTTAGACACTGAACAAAGTATTTATCATTACTACAAGAGAACTACTGAAAATACACCATACATATACGTAAGAGTGCAGGCAACTGTTCTATTTATGTTTCCTCTGTTTCTTTTAAACTGCTCTCTTATTTACTCTTATTTCTTGCTTCTGTAATATTCATAAAAAAACAAAACAGATCCTAAATAAGAAGAAATAATTATCCTGATTCAAATTATGGGTGTGAATGGTTAACCAGTTATCCTTGCCCTTAACAGGGGAGGCTTACTGGTTCTGGTTAATGGTAGGGACTGGAGCAGCTGCTCGTCTGCCGTGGGCAGGGAACTGCTCCAGCCCTGCGGTGCCCTCCACAAGAAGGGCCTGCTTTGATCATTTGGCAGAGGCAGCCCCTGTCCGTGGTGGGCTCAGCACGCCCCTTCGCGCCCTCCCCCCCCGACTCCTTGTCAAACACTGCATAGCTTGTATGTCTACTACACTGTAGCTGGGAGGGTGCCTGTCAGACGGATAGACATAAATGCTACCATGTGAATAGGTATTGGCTACCTGGCTGAATACAAGACAGGCATTTCCTACCCTCTTCTCTCCAGATACGTACTCGAGTGACAGGATTATACTCATGACAAAATATTTACACTGCTATTAATTAGCATGCTAGCCTGAGTGGAGCTAGTGCGTGTGTCTACCTAGGTTAGAAAGTTGAGTTCCAACCTCAGCGTAGACATACCCATTAGTGTCCAAGTGGCAGAGTGACTGAAGCTGGCTGTTGGTAAAAGCAAAATATTGGGGGTAAAAAACAAAAAAAGTGAAATAATCACAAATGTAGTTAATAAGTCTTAGCAATTTTTCTAGTATGTACGTGTCCTATACATTATTTTCAAGAAGGAAAAAAAAATCTGAAAACGTTTATTAAAAATTATATCAGGTCCCAATTTAATGAAACATTTTCTATTCTTACAAGATTTTAAACTGTTTACATAAAGCAAAGAAAAATCCTCTACAGAAGCATTATATATTGGTAGGACTTGGCAAGACAGCATCAATTATATATTTGTATGTTTAGAAGATCACCTTTGTAACCAAGATAGCTAGAAATAAATGTTTTTTAATTAAGAATTAATGGCTCTCCACAAGACAACTGAGTTGCAGTGAAGTTTAAGAAAAGCAAAAAAGAAGAATGCATGACAACCTGTAACAGAAAAAAACCCCTGCCTTTACAATGAAATCAGCTAATTTTAGCAGGAGGCAGGAGAATAAGAAAAATATTTCAATATTACTATATTATAGATGGCGCTAGAAGCACCTATTATTAAGGCTGCCCATCGCTTCCCATTGTAAGATCTTGTTTTTAGCTGCTTGCTGATCTTTACTGCTTAGTCTGAACCCTCCTTGCCAAGAACCTGTCTTTGGCTGGTTTTTTTTTTTTTTTTTAATGTTTTTAATTTTAGCGAAAAAGGTTAAGTCATTTCAAAAACTGACAAGGAAAAAAAAAAACCATAGTTCTGTAACAGTAAAGAAACTCTGGTGATCTTTTCTTTGAAAAGATGTGGTGGCACCTCACTTTAGAGCATATGGTATTTTTTAGACAGAATTTAGGAAATTCTGGTATTTCCTAAATGATGTCTTGAAGTTGCAATTTTCAGAATGATCCTTAAACATATTGTGTGTGCAATAAGCTATATATGCATGGAATTAATGGCTCATGTTCACTTAAAGTTCTGATGCTCACCCTTTTAGGCCAGCAAACATCCCTTCTCAAGGCCAGGTGAACTGGAAATTAGGGATGTCAATGTGTGGACAACTACATAATTAACCAATAAGCCTGGGCTCATCTACACACATTCCCTCCCTCCCCACCCCCTTGCTGCCTTTGTATCAGAGGCAACAGCGGGAAACAGGAACGGGAGCAAGCTTTTAAACTGGCTCCCCACAAGCACCACATCCACCTTCCCACCCCACTGGCGCTGCTGCCTCCAATAGCCGGCTTTTAAGCCATCTCTCAACGCATGCCAGCTCTACAGTGCTGTCCTCCCCACTCCCCGTACTGCTGCTTCTATCAGAGGCAGCAGCACATGGGGAAGAGGGGAGGCTGCCATAGAGCAGCCTCTGTCCATGGTTGGCCTGAGCTCCCCGTGAACAGAGTCTACTCCGACATCCCACAGAGCAGCCTCTATCCACAGCGAGCTTTCTCCCACAGCAGACAAAGACTGCTCCGTAGCAGCAGTCCCTATCCGTGGGCAGATCTGACCTCCCCACTAACAGGGGCTGCTGCCTCTGTGTCAAAGGCAGCAGTGCAGGGCAGGGCAGCTGCCGGTCTGCACGGGAAGCCAGTTTTTAAACCGGCTCCCATTGCCATCTCATGATGCTGCCTGTGATAGAAAGGCAGTAGCATGGAATGGCAGGGGGCTCCTAGGAGTGGAGCTAGGAGCACACTGGCTGCCGGCCCCACCCCCAGGGACTATTGAATAGTCATGTAACTGCTAAAATTTGATGCGTTTACAAAACTATTCTATTACATAGTACCTAATATCACTACTGGAAACAGAGGAGCAGTTTTCTGCCTCCTTTCCTTATGGGAGTGTCATTTCTGTGTGCTTCTATATGCTTCTTCTATAGTCCCCAGCCCTCCATCCAAACACGTCAACACTGCATATTGCCTGGCATGTGACTATTTAAGTCAATGATATAGATCAAGAAATGTGTTTAGCTATATATGATACCCCTTTCCCAGCTATTGATATTGGCTTGTGGTTCACTGGAAAGCAAAGGCTTAAGTATTTTGTAGAAGAGGAGATTAAGAGTTCTGAATACCGACTGCTTTGTTTAAAAAAAACAAAAAAAAACAAAAAAAAACAAAACAGACCACCACCAAGAGGGGGTACAAACCAGCATAAAGAGGCCAGTGAAGCATCTGCAGTTACTTTAATGTGACTAGAACATCTATGGGCTATTAATGTTCATGACTCAGAGAACACACTGGCTGGGGCAAGGGAAAGATTTCTAGCTTATTTTTGTAGACTGTAATATTCCTGAATTGGCAAGCTGCATTGTGAGAAGTTTAGTCTCCAAAAGAAGGCATTCAATATTGATCATCTGACAAGCTACTGAACTAAACAGACACTGAAAAACATTAGTCTTGTTTTTACCTTTTGTCTGACTTGAACCACTGCTTTCCAGAAATCTTTAGCTTCAACTCTATGACAGTCATCACACATTTGTGGCTGAACAACATACTCCACCACAAACACTTGTTGAAGGATTGCTCCATTCATCACCTGAAAAATCAAATGTAAATTTAAGATCAAATCAAATTTCTTTCTTCTGGCTGAAGATGTTGCCATTTTATCGTTTATACCACTGATGCAAAAATTCAACCAAAATTAGCTATATTATACTCCAAAGTAACTAGTATAGCAAGATCAACCATAATAGTCATTGTTATGCTATACATGGAGGTTGGCAGTACTATCCATGGAAAATAAATGTCATAGTTTTACATAGAGTTCAATTTTCTAAATAATTACTCAGAAAATGAAGAGACATACATATTTTAATGTGTTTAAAATAAATCAACTTCTGAACAAGTAGGCAGTTTTTTTTACAGTTGACTCTGTCATGAACTTCTCTGACTGCATGTGATTATTTTTCCTCCCTGAAGTCAAGAAAGTAAAATGCCTTCCTCAGGCCATTATTAATATCGTTCCATTTGTGGAACAGTGTAGGTAGAGTGAAATCAGCGTCTTCTTCCAAGATAAGCCAATACCTCTGGAGAGAGCTTCGCATACACCAGCTAAGAGAGAATTTCCTTTCTGTACAAAGCTACTCTATGTGTCTCCTAAAACTAAGTTTAGAAAAGAACCTACAGGAAGCGCAATGGATCTCAATTACCTCTTTTTGTACAGTGAGCTTTATTTTAAGTCTCCTGGAATGGGGTTCAGTCCAAACAAAGCCTGCTTCAATCAGTCGCACCTGTCAATAGAGACAAACATAGAAGTTGCATCATTATTCTGGAGTTGATAACTTTCCACACTCTAACATGCATGTTTAAAAGTTTCAGAAAGGTAGCCAAGTTTGCTGTTTTTTCTGTTACAGACTAATAGTCTGGTAGCACTTTGAAGACTAACAAAACATGTAGATGGTAGCATGCAGTTTTGTGGGCTGTGCCCACGAAAGCTCATGATACCATCTACATGTTTTATTAGTCTTCAAAGTGCTACCAGACTATTTGTTGTTTTTTAAGTTTATGCATGTTTAAAGCATACAAGCTTAACCATTAAGAACACAACCATCAGGTAATGAGTTACACAGTATATCATCAGCCTTTGAGAACTGGAAGACTCCTAAGATACATGTTTAACTATGTAACAAACAATCAATATTATACATCTTCACATAACTACACTGAAAAGATTCCATCTGCCTAAAACCATGGAAACAAAAGTTCTATTACAGCCATTTGTGCTTTAACTGCAAGTTTTCACAAACTGCCAATTACTTAAAAAACAATGAAAAAAGTCTTACTGAAATTATTTAACTAAAGTAAATAAAATGGAGTTTAAAAAACAAGTGGTATATTTCCTAATTCATATTGTGATGTGATGGCACAAGACATGGGGAGAACAATAATTTTTGCAGGAGGTCTACTCCACAAATGTTGGTAAATCATCATGGGTTGCACATTTTTACTATATTAATGGAGGGGATGCAGGGTCTAGGATGGAGTTTGGATGCAGGAGGAGCTCCAGGCTCCTGCAGTGTTAGGGTGCAGGAGAGAGTGAGGGGTGTGGACTTTGGGAGAAAGTTTAGATGCAGAAAAGGTGTGGGAGGGGGCAGGAGGTGCAGAATCTGGCTGGGAGGCACTTAACACAAGTTGCTCCTGGGCCATAGTGTAGCACGGTGCTCAGGCAGATAACTTGCCTGCCATGGTTCCAGATGTTTAGGGGAAGGGTACAGAGGGTCTCCGTGTACAGCACTGCACCTGCAAGCACTACCTTCCCCCACCCCCCAGTTTCCAGCCACTGGGAGTGTGAAGATGAGGGGAAGAGGGGGAAGCTCACAGAGCTACTTTGAAAGCCTGTCAGGGCAGTGCACAGACATGCCAGGAGCAGTCAGTTGCTTCTGTAAGTGGTGTGGAGCCACGGCAGGCAGACAACCTGAGCGCTTGCTGCCCTGTGGTCTGAACAGAAATGTTTGACAAGCTAGATCTAACACTAACACGGCTGTCAAATATATCTGTTTGGTTCAATAACAGAATTTCATTTTGCTAACTAAATGCTTTCTTTTAGGGACGTGTTGTTTGCCAGTTCTAGCTAGTCAAAGTCAGTCTCCAAACTCTGGGTAAAATCCTCACCTCACTGAAGTCGATGGAAGACACTGACTTCGACGAGGTCAAGATTTCACACTCCATTTTTAACATAAATGAAATGATAGAGGGCAGAGGTAAATGTGATTATCTAGAATAATCTGAAGTCTGTAGAGTTGGTCAATGAGATCTTACTTTAAACAGTGCAAATGCAATCTGTGACTTACCTTACTAAGTGATGCTTTGATTTTTTTAAGACACAAGGTAAGAAGTTCTCTCGATTCTAAGGCACACTGCACCCAAGTTGCTGGAGGCTGAAGATATCTGAGATGACAGAAAACTTTCAACTATTTAAATTATTCAAATATCGGTGTTTATTTCAAACATTATTAGGTCTTGTAAAACAAAATGTTTACCATAAACCCAAAACTGGTGCTTCCATAATGAAACATTAAGATCCATATACTTCAGAGGTACAGTTTTGAAATTTTCCCTTTAGAAACTACTTAAGCAACCTACTTTTTTTCTACATATGGTTCCACATCACCCCATCAGTAATATTTTAATTGAGCAAAAGAAAAATAAAATAAAATATTATTTTAAAGAAAAGAAATGGCAGAGAAGGCCATTTCAGACATTTGCAGTCTATGAGTATAAATTTTGGCATTTCCAACCATTGCTAATGTAGTCCCCTTACTAAAGGTGCCTGACTTTTTTCCTGGGAGGCTGCTGTGTGCCACAATCTAGCTTTAGGGACTACAATTCCCAGGAGCCCTTGAGGAAACCAGTAAGGAAGTTTTGTCTGAGGCTCTCCATGTAGAAAGAGGGTCGCAGCAGTCTGGTGGCTCTCCATTTTGGGACAAAAGGAGCCAGGCTTCTGTGGAGGAACTGTCATGTTGCAGCCACAGACTGGAACTGAGAGCCTTTGGGACTTGGATCTAGCAGGCTGCTTCTGGGGCAGATGATTGCCCTAGAGGGGAGAGACTCTGGCTGTGCCTGTGGCTCAGAAGAACTACACTACAACCAGCACACAGAAGGATGCTGTAAGTAAATGGGCTCTTTGGGAAAGTGCTGCCTGGGGCAGACCTCAGAGATATAGACTAACTCTGGGTCCAAAGAGAGACAGAGTGGCCAGCCCAGTGAACCAGAGCTGCTGGCATTTGGTGGAACCTGCTCCAGTGGAATAGGAAGTTTGCAGCTGGCTGCATAGCTTGGACTAACACACTCACACACACAACCTACAGAGAACCTCCACTACAGCTGCAGATCTTCAAGTGTGCCCATGCAAGCAAGTGTCTGACTCGGAGTCCAGAGGAGTGTACACTCTGGGGTGGGGTAAATGGTGGCAGTGCAAATGCCAGCTAGATAAGTTCCTATTACTTCTGTGTACTTTAACTGATATTATTCACTGTTAATCTGTTAAACCCTGTTTCTTTAAGTTGTTGAGTAAAGGTGTGTTCATTTTAATTAGATGTATATTATTTATAATTGTCCTGGAGTCAGATCCAGATTATTGCTGGAATAATTTTATTCCTGGAGGCTCCCAACGCACACCATTAAGTGTGTACAGAGCCAGCCAGGTGAAAGCACTGCCATTGTATATGCAGCAAAGGGGTGGATAGGGTTTCCCCAACTAAACAACATCACCACTGGGGTAATAAGGATCTTCTTTTATGTTAAAGCCATCAGGCACCCAAGCACACCTGTGAGTGTGACCTTTTCCCGAGTAATCTGGAGAGGAAAAAGGGGGTTACACTTTTATTAATGAAAATATCATGAATTCAACATTCTAGTAACATATTGGCTTAAAACTTATAGTAAAATTGTACTATACCTCTCACACTGTTTGCAGAAGTGAACAGTGACTTGTTTGGGGATTCCTTCTGTGATATCCACCTGCTTTCGTAAACATGCCACGCACATGTTCGCAGGATTTGGTAGGATTGGAATACCACACTGACAGCACAGGCTTGAGTAAATAAAGCAGAATTAATAAATAAAAATGGGCAATGAACTTGGAGGACTGAGAGATATAAAGGCAAAGAAAAATATTGGGATAGGAGAGAGGCCTACTGCCAGCCTGAACATTGCAAAGCATTCTGTCACTGTGCACTTAGTGTGGAAATGAAGACCCACATCCCTCCAGGGTGTGAAGTGACCAAAGGCCAAGCCATCTTCAGCCCATCAGAAGGTGAGGGCTGTAATGGCTGTGCTGGGAAAGGATTCCCGACTCAGTGGCCCTTCTCCACAGAGTATCTCAGCAGGGATTTTCAGAGAGGTTCGAGTTTAAATTTACTGCTCTCCCCACCCAGCTATGGATTCCAAAGATCTGCCCAGGGCCTCACCGGAGATCTGCAACACAACTAAGAGTCACGTGGCACCTGAAAGACAAAGATTTATTTGGGCATGAAGTGGGTTTCGTGTACCTAGGCGGGTTTGTGCAGGTGAAAGCTGATGCCCAAATAAAACTGTTAATCTTTAAGGTGCCACTGGACCCTCCTTTTGGCGGATACGCACTGACAGCGCTGCAATTCTGAGACTTGTCAAGGGCCTTGTGGGCGGTTCGGTCCAGTCCTACTCGAGCCCTTCATTCCTCTCGGCCCCACCCATCCCCCGGCTCAGCGCCAGGCCCGTGTCACTTACATGTTCCCCTGACTGGGGGCCACCGGCTCCTTCATGTACTCCATGTCCGGCCCACGCGGCTCCTAGGAAGGCGGAGAGGAGGGTGAGCTCGAGGCGCCCTGGCGCAGGGCAGCGAGGGCCGGGCGCAGGGGCAGGAGGGCAGGACCCCTGAGCAGGCCTGAAAGGACTCTGGGCCCGGGCACCCACGCGGAGACACGTGTCGGGCCGAGTCACTTCCGATCCATCCCCGCGCGGCCCCACCCCGCGTCGGGCCGATCCCTTCCCCGCGTCCTGTCCCACGCGCGCCGCCGCGAGCCCCGTCACTGACCTGCGCTCACGAGATCGCGCACGCTTCGCTAGCCACCCTGGCTTCCAGTCCCGGCTACCTCAGCTTCAACTTCCGGACGGAACCCCAGTCCCGCGAGAACTGGATGGAAGCGAGATCGCGCTGACCTTGCCTCGCGGTTTCTCAGCCAATCTGCGGCCGCGGAATCTGTCGTTACGACTCAGCGCGAGATTCCCTCGCAGGCTCCGCCCCGGCATCGCGCACGCTTCGCTAGCCACCCTGGCTTCCAGTCCCGGCTACCTCAGCTTCAACTTCCGGACGGAACCCCAGTCCCGCGAGAACTGGATGGAAGCGAGATCGCGCTGACCTTGCCTCGCGGTTTCTCAGCCAATCTGCGGCCGCGGAATCTGTCGTTACGACTCAGCGCGAGATTCCCTCGCAGGCTCCGCCCCGGCTCTGTGGGATGTGGCTAATACCGCCCTTCTAGCCCCGCCCTCGCCCACAAGCCCCCCG